TCCTGTGTTAATAACCAAAAAGTCCCCACGCCAGTGGGTGCCCTGAAACTGGAACCATTAAATAGTGTAAGTCCGGTGCCCATTTACAATTGGGGCCAACCCACTTCTTGGCTCCTCTAAAGCCAAAATATCACAGGGCACAGGCTTTTAGAAACAGGCATCATAATGTCTTTTTTTTTTTTCCTTTTCGGTTTTCCAAAGGATACATCTGCCCTGAAACTAATTGATGGAAAATCATAATCATTTTCTGTCCCTGTTAGCCTTTGGACTAACGCTGAAGCTTAATTATTCTGGCTTCTTTTGGCGTTCTCAAACAAGCAACAAGGAATTTTAAAGAACACACATTTAGTTCCCACTAGTTGAATGCAAAGACTTGACGCCCGGGTTTCAAAACATCTAGGTGCTAAGATGTTAGACAGAGGCTACATAAATCTCGTTTACATGGTTAATTAAGACCTTGTGATTTAGGGACACAGACAACATGGATCTACCAGGGATGGATATGTACACTGTTAATATGCTGTCCTGAGTCTGAGACTGCTACTGTCTCACTGGTTCTGCTCTGAATGCACTTGTAATCACTGTTGGTCAGTACCAACAGTTTAACATCTATGTATCTTTAGTATTAAAATCTTTTCCTTGGACAACTGTGATTCTGTACTAGCTAACTGGCAGCTTGTATGGCTTTGGACGCATGACATGTATGAATTACACTGTTCAAATTTAACAGAAACACATGCAGATACAGATCATTTGGGGTTAATTTCCTATGGTTTTGGTTGGATATTATTAAAGAGTCTGGGAGGATTTGGTAAGAGGTAGAGCTTTGTTCCCACCTTCCTGATTTGGTAGTACAGGCAGGATTTCATGGAGAAAGGAAACTGCTAAGAGAGTTGTTTTGGAGAGTAGAATCCATTCCCCCAAGTATGGGAGGGTTCTGTCCCTGAGGAGGGGTCTCAAAAAAGCAGATATGACGATGGACTGTGGAAATAAGCTCTCTGCACAGGAGGGATGAAGGCATTCTTACCAAACTGAAAGGGATCCAAGTCCACTCTAACTTGCTCAATTACAGCTTAACCAAACTCAGCTGGTCTTATATTACAAAGTCACAAATCCTAGCGTAAGTGGCTGCCTTCATTCTGCAGCCACTTATGCTAAATACCTCTCAACCACCTTAAAAAATCTGTTTACTCTATGAAAATGGGATCAGGGACTTCCTCTCCTGATTACCTACCCAATATGAAAACACAATATTTACTTTCACAGAGATTATATTATTTTTTAAATGGCAAAAATATTACCTCCATTCATATTTTAGAAAATCGAACCAAGATTTGGAATGAAATGCTTTTAATGTGGTTCCTACAGCTTTTCTATGTAAAACCCAGGCTGGCACCGTTTCACACAGGGAAGTAGCTCAGAGAGGAGGCATGTCGACAGACAACGTGGTGACAGGTGACTGGTGGAAGTTCGGACCTCGGGCTTCAAGTCCTGACTCATCACTAACGGGTTCTGGAGCTCTGGGCCCTTCGATTTTCATCTTGAAAACGACAGCCTGAAAGGACTTTTTACGGCCCCCTTCAGCTTTAAGCTGGTCCTGACCTAATCACATGTTACAAGTTCTAACTGAAAATTACGAGAAGGAAATTAGGAAAGACGTATCAAAGTCCATGTTTATCCTGGATTAAGTTTGTCACCATTGTGCTGCTGTGGAGGCAAACCTGTTGCATCACATGGAATACCTTATTTCTGGCTGTGCATTAGAAATACAAGAGGCAGAAGACTTTTTATATTTTCATTTTTTTAAAAAGTGAACAACAGTATCCCTCGATGATGGGAAGTTCTCAAGTTTCACCTTTATAGTCTGGAAGTACACACAGAATTCCACCTGGCAGACAAGGGCCACATGGCTGAACCCGGGGTATGCCGGCTCCCTTTACCACGCGTGAAGTCTCACTTTAAAGCCACGTCCCCAGTCCTTACCAGGGGGCTGATCAGCGCCGTCGCTGTTACTGGTGGGATGATTAACCGTGTAGCGGCCAGAGAAAGAGGTTTGTATATTACCTGCCCATGAATTTATACCTACTTCGTGTGGCTTGTGCTCACCAGAGCAAAAGCACGCAAGTTAAAAGCAACGAGATTTGACCTTAGATCTTACTGGACACATCTACTACCATATTGAAAACAGGAAACGAAACAGCTTTTGACACAGCACCTGGTGGAGGGGGCACACCTCCATCTCCCCATACACTGCATTGTTGCAGTCTTCAGAGTTTCAAAGGCTTGCCGTTTTTCCCTGAAAAACGCGGCCCGTCGGGAAGCATTTCTGGCGCGGCCCACTCACCTCTTTGATCTTTGCCCTTTTCTCGCGGATGGCGGCGTCGGCGGGCTCCCGGCTCTCCACGCCGATGGGAGGCACGAAGTCCACCGGGGGCAGGCCTCTGAACGGCGCCTTGTCACGCAGCTGGTCCTGGGCCACCTTCTTCTTCTCCAGTAGGATGTCTCTTTGGATCTCCTCGGGCAGCTTCTGCAGGGTCTCCTTGGCTTCCCTGAGAGCCCGCTCGTGGTTTTCGCGGATCCTGGCCAAGTTGTCCTCCAGGGCGGCCTCCGGGTCCCCGGGTGCCCCCTCCTCGCGGCGCCGGGCTCGCCCCTCGGCCGCGTCCTCGGCGCGCGCCCCGGGCCCGGGCTTGTGGTCGGCGGCCGGCTGCAAGGCGGGGCTGGAGTGGAACAGGACCCCGCTGAGCAGCTTGGAGGAGTCTGGCAGGAAGAAGATCGCCCCGAAGCAGAGCGTGATGAAGGCGCTGAATACCAGCAGCAGCACGAACTTCTCCGTCAGGCGGAGGGCGGCGGGGCCCGACACCTTCCTGCCGCCGCCGCCGCCAAGCCCCCCGCCCAGGCCGCCGCCCGCGGGGCTGCTGAAGAGCGGCAACAGGCCCCCCACGGGCATCGCTCCCGCTGTCCAGTGGCCCAGCGCCGCGCTGCTCAGCAGCCAAACTTCGCCGCCGCTGGGCGTCCGCGGCTGCGGGGCTGGGTCTTGCGTATCCAGGCCGCCCGACCCCCTCGGCTGGGCTGCGGATCTCCCCTGGGGGAACAACTCCGCGCCGGGTCTTCTCCCCGGGGCGGCTCCTCGGGCACACAGGCACGCGCGACAGACCGCAGGCTGCAGCCCCTGCGGGGAGAGAAACAGTAAAACGTAGTAATTACGGCGATGATAAAGTTTCCAGCGGGTCTCCGCCCTCCGACTCCTGGCGAGTCGCCAGGACCGCTCCCCTTGAGCAGACTCCTGTCCAGCTCCGGGCACCGCCCTCGCAACCCACTCTTCGGACTTGGGGTGAAGTTTTCGGGTCCCGTGGGTAGGGGCGGGCTGTCCCGCGCAGGCGGGGGGCAGGGCAGCGCGCTAGCACCTCGTGGAGGGGCAGCGCACCTCTGGGCAGGAGGGGCGCAGCGTGGGCGGGGGACTCGTCAACTTCGCCAGCTCCCCATCTCCGCGCTGAGACTGCTGCCTCTTTCCTAGGCTGGGCTGAGCACGCTGGCCCGTGGCTCCGCAGCCCCGGCGCGGCTCAGGTGGGCTAGCGCGCGGACCTGCGGGCGAGTGGCAGCGAATAGAGCAGCACGGTACCCTCCGCCGCGGCCCCGCGAGCACTAATCTCACTGCCGGTCTCGGGGCTGTAGGAAACGAGGGAGGCGACGCGGCCGGAGAGTGACGGCGCGGCCGGGCCAATCACGCGCTGCCCAGGGTCCCGCGGGGGCGGGGCCGAGGCAAGGAGGGGGCTGCGCGGGGCGGGGAGTTTACGGGAAGCGCAGCCTCGCGGGGGCCCGGCCGGCGGCGGGGAGGTCGTGGGGCCGGGAGGCGCGAGGTAGGCGGGAGCCGCGGTGAGGAGGGCGGTGGAACCGGTGGCTGAGGCCCAGCCCCGAGAAGTGGCAGGCGGAGTTCGGGGTCGGGGAGTTTATCCTGCGCTGGCCTCGGCCGGGGTCCCCGGGGTGGTTGATCCTCGACTGACCCGGGAGGCGCCTGGACCGGCGCGGGACCTCCCTGCCTCCTCCTCCGACCCCCGCGGGGCGGTCGGGGGCGCTCCCGTGGAAGTCCCGGGAAAGACAGGGTCTCGCAGGGGATCCCGGGCACTGGGTCGTTCTGAAGCACGACTTTACTCCAGTTACCCTCTTTTTATCCAAGGCCAGGGTTCCCCAGATGCCAGGTGGCAGTGAAACCCCAGTTCCCTCGGTTAGAGGAGCCGTGACCCTGGGAGCTTTTGAGCCCTCTGGTATAACATCCTTTTACATCTTAAGAGACAGTTCTGATTGCTTAGGACTGTTTTCGTATGCGCCCTCTCTTCCCCCCAAAAACCGAAAAAACTTGTATGCCTCTCCCGCCCACCCCTGCTTTTCGTATTCATTTACCTCATAGAAGTTGGTCAAATTTTCCATTCGAAGACGAGTTTTATGCTGCGGTAGCTTCAAGCAATAAGTCGGACATTGTGTTGAAATTAAGTCTTGGATCCGACTACTTCCAGCGAAGTGAGGAGTTGGTCCAATAGAAATTATTTTCCAAAATGTGTTGTAATTCCCCTGTTGCTGCACAAATAAAGGGTTATCAGAGAGGAAAACGTTGACTGACTTCCCATTTCTGAAAGCTGATTTGTAGTCGCCTTATTTCATCCTCACCCTTCTCTGGAAATGTGACGTTAGTTCTGTTTGTGCTTAAGACAAAGGAAACAGCTAACACCTTTCAGGAAGGTGGTTCCAATACAGTTGTTTCCAGGTGTTAAGCTGTATGAGAAAGTAGAAAAGTAATCAGAAATCCTTACTAGTTTTCTTTTAATTATTTAAATATTAATTTTAACCATTATTATTTGTCGTCTACTTGTTTTGTGTAAAATGAGTCATACACTCAAAGTTCTTGTTAATAGGAAATTATTGTTTGATAAAGCTGGCTTTATGGCTTGGTAATTTTGATACCTGCTATGAAATTCTATGCCCAGAAGAGTGCAGCATATCCAAGCAGGGTAATAAGTTCAGAAAGACCTGAAAAAGAAAACAAGGGTGATTTTTTTTTTAAATGATGGAAAGGCAATTTTTATCTCAAACGATTACGCATTTGTAGGTTGTGCATAGGCTGAAAGGTTTGAATCACTGTGGAATAATGTTTCTAACAACATCCTTAAAACTGAGTTACCTCTTGAACGGACAGATAAATAGGAACTGGGTTAATTACCCCAAACGCTAATCTTTTTATGATCATCCTTTTTTGGAATGATTTATTTTAAAAATTACGTTTTAAGACTGGCATTATAGCCCCAGAAATATTTAGAAGCTTTATTTCAAATTAATGTTATTAAATATTCCAGCAAAACAATAAATTCCACTCTTAAGTGTATGTTAAAATGGTGATGAAGGAGAGTTATAACTTAATTCTGACACTTTAATTTTGATACCAAATCAGTTTGGGCATTTAACTTCTGTAGTGGAAATATTCAAAATTTAGTACGTGGGTTTAAGGATTTTTTTTTTCCCCTAAAAACTTTAAATTTATCTATGTTGTTTCTAAATCTCTTAAAGTAACTACTCTTTTTAAGTTCATCATGAAGCTTATTTTAAGATGATTTTTCTTACTTTCTGTATTTCTTATATGACAGGGTTATACTTGCAGCCTGGCTTTAATAATATGTTAAACAAGAAGTTAACATGGGTGGTTGATTACAGGTACATATTAAAGGGTGTCTGTGTGCATTAGGTGGGATAGGAACTATATGGGAACACTGATATTTGGGCCAGAGCAAATTTGAAAAATTCACAAAGAAGGTATCTGAAGAGGCATAGCAATCAAAGTATGCATCCTCTTTAAAATAACCACATAAAGCCCTGTGTGCTCATTGTAAGGGAGGAGTAGAAAGAGTCAACAAGTAAAAATGTGCATTTTGTAGAAGCAAAATCTGACACTTTCCTCTGATTTCAGTACTACAAAGCACTTGACATTCTACCATTGAAAAAAGTACTTTGTACCCTGAGATAAAAATAAAGGTGATTGGTTCTTGTCCTTCAAGTAATGAAACCTTGACTTTGTCCCCTAAGACTCCTTAGCCACATCTACCTGAAGGTAATGTCACCATCTTTATGAATGCAATGATAGTGCTGAAATTGCTGTTTTCTCATTATGGATGGTCTAGTGTAAACCTAGGAGCCTTAGTAATTTTGTGGGATTTTTTTTTTAATACTTGCTGTGTTTTTTTATTTGGCCAGCCAGTCCTTTTGAAGTACGACTCTCTTGTAATTTTTGCAGGTTTGCTTGCAAACTTAATTCTTACATTTTCCTTTTTCAATACTTAATGTCTTTTTGTATTTCTTTGATAATTTGTAAATTTTTGTGTTTCAAGATTATATCTTTAGAATCAAGTTATTTTTTAAAAATCTGATCATCGGTGATACCCCAAAACACTACAAAGAAATCCCCAAACAAATGTTGTTGCTTCGATTTTTCTGCTTTCAAAAAAAATTACCAAAAGGTAGATTTAATTTTTACATTAGCATGCCTAAAATGAAATAAAGTAATAATTATGAGCAGAGTTACAGGGGAAAAATTGGCAATATTTTTATAACACTGGTAAATTTATATTTTTATAAAATTGTAAGTTCTCAAAAATTAAAGTGCAAAAACTTTTCTTAGGAAGTTTCTAGGCACTACTGGTTAGAAGTTTATGGAAGAATCCTTTTGAGGATTTTTGTTCTCTTACTTTAAATAAAACAATCTAATAAAAGAAATGAATTTAATCTACATGTATAGTAAATAATGACTGAAATTCTCCAACAAGTTAGATTTCTGATAAAATCTTTTAATAGGGGATTTTCTAATTATCTTCAAATTCTAGGTCACAATAGGTCTTTGCTCTTATTTAAAAAAAATCCAAATGTAATATGTAAAAAATTATTTATTGTGAATATTAATCTTGAAGTTTCAATACTTCAATGGGCACTCTCATTTTACATGAAATATATTAAGTTGGAAATTAACCAGAATTTTAAAGGAAACTATCAGTGTTATTTGTATGCAAATTGGAATCTACTGTTATATTTCTGATTCCATGTTTTTGCTCTTCCTCGATTTACTTTGAAATGCCTGAGTGGCAGATTATTTTTATACAATTCCAATCACGTTTTTTTGAGGGGGCGTGGGTGCCAGGGGCAGTGAGGGCAGGAGCCCTCTGTTCCTGCAGGCTCCTGCTGAAATACACAGTTTTGTTTTAAACACATTTCATAAATATTAACTGTCCCCAACTTAAAAACATTGTGTCCTGCAAGTATTTGTGTGCATTGGCTCTTTGGAACTTTCAGAGCATTTTTCTTCATAGAAACAGAGTTGTAAATGGTGCTTTGGGTTGCTAGCCTGCAGTGCAAAGACCTCACCCTAGGGAAGAATAACATCTTGGAAGAAGTACTGTTGCAATGCTGGTAATCAAAGTAACATTACATTAGAAAGTGTTTTATTTATTATGAGCATTGGAGCCTGAGGACAAACAGATTTATTTGAAAGAGGAGATATAATGATAGTTTCAGAAATATTCTAAAATCAACTTGCAAGCTCAGAAAGGTGTGTGGAAGTTCTTAGGTATAGTTTTCCTTTACCATGTGTAGCTTTCTTTTGGTTTGAAGAATATCATAACTACTGCTCTTTAAGTATTTTTACTTTGGTTTTGTTTTGATTTGATTAACAAAGGGACTGAAAGAAATAACAGGGAGAGGTTTTCGTGAGGTCACTGGGCAAGGGTTTGAATAAGAGAGGAATTTATTATAGAGTACGTGCATGTGCATGTCTTGGCTATGTGACCATGGCCAAGAAGTCACCTATTCTGTGTCTCTCATTCTTCATCTGCAACTTTGTTGTGCCTCTTAGGTTAAATGATGTAACTAATGTGTCTGGCACAGTAGGCATTTAAGAAATTTAAGTCCATTTTTCCCCTCTCTTAGAAGGGTAATGTTGGGAATGAGGAAAGAACAGTGTCTGTGGGATTCTTCTAAAGAAGACCCGAGAAAGGATGGCAGGCAGGGTATTTTAGATTATGTGGCTTTTCATATGGTTGTCACTTTTCAACTGCTAACCCATATTTGAATAATATCCACTGGAGAAAAAAGTATGGTTGGGAGGAACAGCGTCGGGTTTAGTAGCTGGAGAGTCTTCAAATGTTTCTTCACCCTTTATAGGATCAAAAGGTTGACCAGCTAACCTACTGTTACTACTACTACTTGTTAATTGGCAATTTATAATTGTATAATTTTGTAGGGTAAAAAGTGATATTATGATTTCTGAATGTAATGCAGAATACTTAAATCCAGGTAGTTAACATCTCCATTACCTCAAATACTTAATATCTTTTGTGGTAAGAACATTTGAAAATTACTTTCTCATTCGGTTTTAAATGTATAGTATTCTCTCATGAACTATATTCACCGTGCTGTGTGATAAAACTAGAAAGAGAAATTCCTCTCATCTGAGATTTTGTATCCTTTGACTATTATCTCCCCATCCCCAGCCTCTGCAGGGTAGAATGGTGATTCTGTTCTCTGCTTCTGAGTTCAGTTGTTTTAGATTCTACATATAAGGGAGAACATGTGGTATCTTCCATGCCTGACTTACTTCACTTAGCATTGTTTTCCAATTCCAACCACATCATCACAAATGATAGAATTTCCTTCTTTTTTAAGACTGAATAGTATTCTTTATAGTTCCTAAAGCCTTGACAAAATGTGAGTGATGGCAAAGTCTCAATGTGGGGAGAATGGCCTTATGGTTCAGTGCCTGAAGAGTTGGGAAACCAAGGTCTTAGAGCTGAAAGGTGGCACTGAGAATGCTAACAATGACCATTAGGGGTCCTTGTATATAAAATGTTTGAATGGTATAACTTGAGGAGAATATACTATTTCAACTAAGTGAAACAAAGGAAAAGTTTCTTTCCATGGTCAGAGAAAGATATAAAATATTTCCTTTTTCAGTTTCTAGTACATTAGATATATTTTAAAAATAAATCAGTTTTTCTTTTAGAAAATCTTTTTTTTCTCTCCATTCTCGGTCCCATAAAAACCACATGCTTTTCTGGAACAATAAAAAATTCAGAAAGGGAAAAAAATAGTGAGACGTCATTCTGCCCAGTTATAAGTAATTTTCATGAAATAAAGTGAAATGAAACCACCACATGTGCTTGTTCCTATTTTGGAGAAACTACCTACAACTATGACACAACAGCACTTGGCTTTCCAATTTTATTGCAAAATAAAGGTACTGTTGGCACAACATGTTCTGTCTTTCATATGGTCCTTGAGGACAGAACTTTGTCTTAGCCTTGGGTCCCTGTAAATGGATAGGAACTTACCTCTGGTTCTTTGTCCATTAAACTTATTTTTTAAGTTCATTTGGAGCATTCTCCTGGAATATACAGACTCATTTATGGGATAAAGTAAAAGCAGTTCTGTGTTGCAGATAGTACGTTGGCAAATTATATTTCTGTATGTTTGATTTGTAGTCATTTCATTTGGCGTAATTAATACTGGTCTGGATTTGGGGAAGGAGAGAGAGACACACACTGAAATTACCATCGGAAAAAAGAAGGGAAGAATTTCAAATCAGTGACCCATGTATTTATTAGACTTAATTGGCTGGAACTGGCAGGATCTCATATACGGTTTCTAAATTACTA